AGGCAGGAGAAAAAAAGTTTCTATATGGACTAGGTAAGAAATAAAATTATTTCAGTTATTGCAATTAGCTTCTACAGTGAACAGTGACAGGACTAAAATTGACTACTATATCAAAGCACCTTGCAAAGAATTTTAGAAAAACCTGAAATGTTCTCTTTTCTGTTCAGTCAAAGTCTATGCACCAGAACTAGTGATACCTATACAACCATAGACATGGCAATCCTTTCCCACCACGTCTACATCCTTCTTTTGGGCTAACTCTTAAGGTTTGCTTTAGCTACCTTGAATCCCCAAGCTGCCCTCCCTGTCTACATTCCTTTCCTGTTGTGCATTGGTGCAGCACAGAAGAGACAAGCAGTAGCCAAACTGATCCCTAGAAGGGCTCTGCTGGACAGGAACATGAAATCAAAGCAGAGGTCTTCAAGGAAGAATAACCACGACGTGTCTTTCCTGCTGTGTTAGCTCCAATGGCAAGTAGCAGAGACAAAGATTTTTGGCAGATATCCTATGCTTTCACTTTGCTTAGCTCAGGTGAGAGCTAAATACAATAGTGGGGGAGATGGATGTGTGGGGGAACGTTAGCCTTGGATCCTGATGCTCAAACTTCCAGAGGTGGGTCGACTACTGCTGGGGTGACCTAAGGTGCTTTAATGTTTAGAATGCAGGTGCAGACCTAAATATATACAGCACTGTAGACTTACCCTAAGTTTGTACAATGTGCTAGCTTTGTGGAGTCAGAAGCCATTATTTGCTAATGAAAGAATATGTGCTTATATGTGTATTGGCCTGTGTTACTCCCAAATTTTGTGTGAGAACTATTTTACAAAAGTTAATAAAAACAGTCCATTTTCAAATGTGGGTGTCAACCAGCCATCACCCAAGTTTGGCTACTGAGCCCAAATTGCACAGGCAACCAACAATAAATGTCTTATGGGCTCAGCACTGGAACTATATGAATATACAAGCACCGCGCCTATAATTCCTCCATAGAACGAAGGCATCAGCATGCTGATTTCTCAGTCATGGGCTCACCTGATGATTTTATTGAAGAACTGTATGAAATCCCATTGTGCTGCTGATTATCACCAATTTCCAGAGTTGTTGTTATTACAGGCTTTGGTCTGAAGTCACGTTTAGGCTGACTAGATGCTACATTTATTCTGGAACACAAAGGAAGAGTGCTAGGACATTTCTTTGTGGAAGACTAGAAGCAGTATGAAGCTGCTCTTTAGTGATTACAAGGTGGGTTGCTTTTTATGTTTTGATTTTTTACTCAATCTGAAGGGCTGGCCTGCAATCTAACATTTCATTTTCAGTAGCTTTTCATTTTTACCCAGTTTTTTAGCCATGTTGATTGAGACAAAGATTAAGAGTCTGACTTTCAGAAGTGCAGAACACCTACAACTGCCACTGAGTTTCATGAGTAACTGAAAGTCAGATTACAAATGACAAGTCCAGAAACACAGTGAATGATGACTTGGACCTCTCAGAGCTCGTATCCCCACTGGTTCTAACTAGTAAATAACTAAATAACCAGTGGTAACAGTAATAAATTTTTCTCCATTAGTATTATGTAAAAGTCTCTGTGGCGAGTCATCAACACAGCACATCAAAACTGTGCTTCCAGCCAACTGGCAATTTCTTGATATGCCTTAGGATTTTATGAAAAATCCCTCAGTACCTTGTTAAAAATTTGGCCTAAACACAAGACCTCAAAAATGTGGCTGAGAAAATGCACAGCCATATCAGTTTGTATGAACAAAAATCCACCAGCAAAGAGAGAACCTCCCAATTAACCCCCGAATATGTGGGTGAAGAGTTCTGAATGCAGACAAGGATGCCCCTGTACGTTTAGTGGGCAGAGTTCATTGTATAGCCACAGGTCTTTCAAAGACCTACACGGCGTCAAGAAGTCACCAGATGGCAAATGTTTGAAGTACTGAAACCCACTGAAGGTGCAGAGATATAGAAAAAGGATAGGCATCTGTGAGACGGTGATGGAGGCTTTGTTGCTTCAACATCTTTCTGCATTCTCGAAAATAAGCTCCAAACATTGTTTAAAATGCTTTGATCCGGTTTCTTCTTACCGGTTTTGCAGCTTGCTTTGCAGTTCCTCCAGAATCTCCGTGGATTGTTTATGGTAGTCTAGCGCTGCTTCTGCAAACACTGCCAACTGGCTAACTTGCTCTACCTAAAGTACAAAGCAGAAAGAGACTAAGGAGTCTGCATATTGTTCAACTACAGAAAAAAGAGACAGACAATAATAAACTCAATGATTAACGCTAAAAATAGGCCTGGTGTCTCAGAAGATCTCAGGATTTTACAGGTCATATTTCTTTTTTAGTTTGAGGCCCAAATAATGACTTGAGAGTCTGCAATCTTACAGGGAGAAGCATGTGGGCAGAGCACAGTGCCTGCACTGAGCCCCGGTGGGGCTCACTGCAGGGTTGGGAATATAGCACATCACAGAAACATGTGCTTGTGTCTAGAGGGGTTTACTCACGCCAAGGAACTTGATCAAGTGCATGGTACTCCCCTTCCCTCCTCCCCTTCCTAACGGAGAGATTCTGACAGGATGGTTTCTTCATAGAAAAACCTTTCAACAAAGCTGAACTTGAGTATGTGTAAGGAAGAAATCATTTAATTCAGAGGCACTAAAATTAAAGGAGGAAAGCTGCCTACAGCTGCTCTACATCCAAGTAAAAATTCAAAAGGAGAAGAATGAATAAGTGCAGAGAGAAAATGATTGTACATTTCTTGTTGAGAAGGGAGGTGTCAGACCATTTTACAGGGCAATCTATTTTACACTGCTCCACAGGTACCCAACCAAGAACAGCAGCCTAGCCTAACAAAGAATTTGCGGCCAGATTTTTTTACAGGTATGGAGGAGCCTAATTCCCATTGATTTCAATGGGAGCTGACACCTAAATCCCTTTAAAAAATCTGGCTCTTCGTTCTTTCATCCATTTGCAGCAGCACCCTGGGCCCAGCTGCTGAAAAGCAAACATGTGCTAAGAAGTCACCAGCTAGAGACTGAATAAAAATGAGGTATAACTTCTACTTCACAAATTCTGGGCCCAATCCCTGAGGACTTCCCTCTTACAGTGTGCAAATTTGTTTTACTATATATTGCTCTCTGTTTTTCAGCCTGAAGTCTGTGGGTCCCCAAGCCTGGAGCGGGCCAGGGATAGGACTCCATATTTGATGACTGTCTTTCAGACCAGTGGTGTTTAGGAAAGCATGACTGTGCAGCATCTTCTAACAGGGACCCACAAAATGTTGTTTACTACCTCCAGTAGACTACAAACTGCAGTCCTGAAAAGGTCCAGACTTACCTCACTAGGTGGCAGCATTTATAAACTGATAAAGAAATGATTTAATCAACTCAGAATAAAAACCACAGATAATCATGCTAGAATCTCACTATGGGGGGGTAGGAAGGGGGAAATCAAAAGGAAGTAAAAACACACCCATCTCCCAACACAAACTGACACTCAAGAACAAAGTAGTAATCATGGTTTCTTCTTGTTCTTTTTTTTTTTAAGATGACATTTAGAGGATGAAAATCAGCCAAGTGTGGTACCTTCCATTTAGCACTCAGGCCTTCCCAACCCTCATTAGAGACTTCATCAGGTGTTTGGAAAAATTTGCTGCAATCAAGTTCCTGTTTTGTGTTGATTTTATTACATAGTTTATCAGTTTTTACCAACTCAAAGAGTTTATTGAATTCTCAGCTAGGACTCTAATGAAGCAAAGCATTGCCCCACAGCATGTGATCTCAATGCACAACACCCACTCCTCAGCTGGTGCAACTCCATTGTATTCAGTAGGTCTACAGTGATTTACACTGGCTGAGGATTAGACAAGTAGAATACAGGGGTGCACTGACAGATTTTGGGAGCCAATACCAATAGCCGATTTTTGCAGAAGCATAATTGGCCAGTACTAATCCGATTTCTGATACAGCTGTGTGCAGCTGGTAAGTCTATTGTGATAGAAAGGGAGGGGGAGTGAAGGGGTGTGGTGCGGGGGTGCAGATCAATGCCCCCAGTGGTGAGAGAGGGCAGGGGCTGGGGTAGGCACTTCCCTGCCGGGGCAGGGCTGGGTGCAGGAGAGAGCCGTGGTTTGTCTGGGGGGCATGGGAAGGGGGAACGACTCCTGCTGCTGCACACACTTCAGGAGAGCATGGTGGGGGAGCGTGTGCCCCTGGACCTGCATGGGGCAGGGTGGGGCAGGCTACAGCTGCAGGCTGGGGCCAGCAGCTGCACCAGGCTCTTCCCAGGAGGGAGGGAGGGCCATGATGATGCTCACGGCGGGTGGCAGCGACACTGGGAGGGGGAGCTACTGGGGGTTTGCAGAGAAATTTTGCTGTGGCTAACCCCACCCCCACCCCCCATACCCCCATCCCAGCACCACCACCGCCCACCCCAAGTCCAGCTCAGCCCAGCCCAGCCCACTCCAGGCCTGCCTCCCAGGAAGAGTGTAGTGTGGCCCCCCAGCCCCAGCCCACAGCTGCAGCCTGTCCCATGCAGATCCGGGGGCACATGCTGCCCCACATGCCCTCCCAGAATGAGTGCAGTGGTGGGAGCTGCTCCCCACACCGCCTGGACTAGTTGTGGCTCCATGCCTTGCCCTGGCAGGGCAGTGCCTACCCAGTCACACTCCCTCCCTCACCGTGGGGGCTGTCGATCTGCCCCCACATGCCCTTTCCTCTTCCACCACAACACTCTTATCAGCTGCACGTAGCTGCAGCAGCCCAAGCTGCTGGGCTGTGGTCCTTGTTGCCTGCATGCTACACTAGCTGCATGTATGCACAGGGATTTCTTAGCCAAATTAATCGGCCACATCAGGCCGATTTCCGATATAGTCAATTTTCTTTATATCAGTGCCAATCCAATATTGGACCAATGCATCGGTGCACCTCTAGTAGAATACAATTTTCTCTTTCCATAACACTCCCAAATGCAATTTAATTCTTATATGGCAACCCAATTAATCCCTCCCTTTACACTTAAAACTGACAGCCAATGTAAATGGCCAGAAGTTCTATGCAATTTTAGCCATAATTTGATGGTCTGCTTGAACTCTGATCACCCGAGTAAAGCCCCAATAAACCAACTTTGTGCAGGGGCCTTGTATGGAGCTCGTAGGGGAATGCCGTCTAAGTCAGTGGCCAGTAGGGCTGTGTGAAACTTCAGTAGCCGATTTGATTCGGGGGGGAGAGTCAGCCGAATTCAGCAGCCAAATCTCCGAAACCAAATAAAATCAGGAGACCAATTAAAAGCTCCGAATCAAATTGGAAGCCTCCAAATCAATTTGGAAAAGATTTGCCGCCAATTCAGAGATTCGGCCATAGACTAAACAGGCAGCAGTCCTCACCACGCTGGACACAGCAGCCTCCAGCTGGTAAATCTGTTGTGGTAGGTGGAGGGGAGAGGGAAAGGGCATGGCGGTGGGGGGCAGATCAATGCCTCCACAGCCAGGGAGGGATTGGGGCTGAGAGGCTTCCACCAGTGCACACGGCCGGTTCAGGAGGCCATAGGAGTGGGCGTTTGCCCCTGGATCTGCGTGGGCTGGGCTATGCTCCAGACTAACTACATCAGAGATGGGTAGCATAAGCTTTTGTGAGCCCAAGCTCACTTCATCAGTGAATTAAGTCATTTAACAGCAAATGATTATTGGAGCTGGGGCACTGTACACAAGTAACTGGCCCTGGAGCATGGAGTATCCCTGAAGCTGTCTCCCCTGCAGCTCTCAGCTATGTCACGATTTTGGTTTGCAGCTAGAAGAGTTAGGCAGGTTGGTTACTCCTGACAGACAGGCTCTTCCTTCCAGAAGGTTTACAGGACAGGAAGCAGGAGGACAACTTACATCATTTTCTAAGAAGTTGAACATGCTTCTTTCTGCCAGCTCTTTTGACTCCTCAAATTTTTCTACCGCTTGTTTAACTTCTTCATCTGGTATCTTTCCTAGGCGCTTCTTTTTATAATCATAATCCAAACGCCGGCCTTCTAGTTTCTTCAGATGATGCTAAACATGGCAGAACATTTCCCATTAGGTCAAAGTGAGGCAAACCCAAACAGACATGTTATGATTTTGTAAACAGCTCTTGATTATGGATACAATTACATGAATTTATATAGAATCACTGAAATGTAGAGCTGGAAGAGATTTCCAAGAGATTATCTAGTCCATCCCCTGATCCAAGGCAGTATCAAATACACCTTGGCATCTATACAGTATAATACTTCTCTGAAAATTAAAACTACACAGACACCAAGAAAGCAGCATCTGTTAACATTTCAAGAATTGTTTACCTTAATTTGCTGTTCAATACATTCATCTCATGGACTTTATTAAATGTGCAACAGCTTCACTGTGTCTAAATTAGAAGCAGGAAATAGCCTGTGTGTGCTGCTTTCCCATTTACATTCTGGGTGTAATTCAGTTTCAAATGCTGAATTATTTGCAGTACAACAACTGCAACTTAAAGGGTCTTTTCCCTTCTCATTCCATGAGTGCATCTCCAACTAACCCTCTCATTCCTGAATTTTTCAAAAGGCATTAATTGAATATTACTGTATGATACCTTACATTCCTATAAGGTACCTTAGAACAAGTTTTCCTGATGCAAAAAACTCCTGGGTTTGAGAAACTCAGTACAGACTGAAAGTGGTGATGCAGGATGCTCTTTAAAACACAAATTAAATGCTTATTGTTTTCCCCTTTCAAAACAATGACTGAGAATAGAGTCATCCATCATACAAGACATGCAGCCATTGGGACATTACTGCCTCTGCTGTTTTATTTGTGGACAATTTTCTAAATCCATTTGTGTATAAACACATAACTTTATATTGCAGGGGTTTAGGTTGTAGCCGTGTTGGTCTAAGGACACAGGCAGACAAGGTTCCTTGGGTGAATTTGATATCTTTTATTAGACCAACCCAAATAGTTGGAGAAAAGTTATTAAGCAAGCTTTCAGGTTCAAAAACCCTTCGTCAGGCTAAGGAAGCTGCAGCAGTTGGTGTGCGCTCTTCCTGGATGGAATGAAAAGTAAAGAAGCCAGGGGCTGGGCTGGGCTGGGGAGTCAGTTGCCAGGCAGATTATAATGTATCAAAAATCCAATGTCTATGTTTAGTCCCTGATCTCTAGTATCCAGCAGGTTGATGAAATGGAGCTCATAGGCTCGTCTCTGGGATGTGTTGTGTAAATTTCCCTTGAGGATCAGGACTGAGAGATTGGAGAGAGAGTGGCCCTCCTATGAGAAATGTGCCCCCACCGGTAATTGGGTATTTCTATCTTTGATGGATTTCTGGTGTGCGTTCATTTATTGTCATCAGCATAGTACCTTTGAGTGCTGTTTAGTTCCATTTAAAGCAAATATAAATCTCTAAAGCAACCTTACAGGTTTATTTTATTACGTGTTTGCACTCTTATTGAACATATTGTAATGAAATTTTATGGTTTTGTAATGTGCGGCTCTGCCCAAAAGCATGCACAATAAGAATTAGTTTCATGCCCTTCATAGATTGTAAGGCTGGAAGGGACCTCAGAAGATCATCAGGTCCAGCCCCCGCACCAGGCAGGATAGACAAGTGGGGTCAGGTGACCCCAGCAAGGTGACCATCCAGTCTTCTCTTGAAGATCTCCAGAGTACGTGATTGCACCACCTCTGGAGGGAGCTTATTCCACAGTCTGGACACCCTGACTGTGAAGAAGTTTTTCTTAATGTTGAGCCTGAAACAGTCTTCCAGGAGTCTTCCTGCTAATTTATCTTGTTTCCATAGGTTTTAATGACCCCTCTATTTTAATAGTCTTTAATTTTGCTGTCTGTTAGCCATTCCTGGTAATGTCTCTCTCTCATTTTACAGCCCTATGACCTTTTTTAGCTCTAGCTGGCTAAAAACCTTAACTCAGGGGTAGAAATGACTGACAGTGAAGTATTAGAGGCACTGTCAAGACACTAAAGACTGGAGGTTTTGTTTTATGAATTTGAATAAGAGATACATTTGACTACAGGGCTAATGAAACAATATCTTTTGACAATTTTGACCAATTTTTGCTTTAAAAAGCATTTTAAGCAAAAGGGACAAGAAAAAAAATCCAAATGTATTTCTAATGTACTTATTTCTATATTATCCAAGCGCCAGTGTTCATAGTTCTAGTAGTAGACTACAGTATTTCAGCCAAACCTGCAATTATTCTTTCCATGAATTCCATTACTGCTAATGGTTGAAAACTTATCTGTGTGCCTGTAGTATTCTTTCTTCTGGGAAACTCTAGGATTCTTTCCTAGTCAGATAAACTTGTCCATCTTTTGTAAGGATGGACATAGGAAGAGTTATCCAAAGGCAATGGAGAACTATTTGCCCTTATTCGCACTGAGCATTAGCTGCAGTTAGTGTGAAACCCATATTCTAACCTACTCAGCCCTGATCCCAGTCACCTAGGATAGATTTAAAGGACCTCCAAACATTGGTCAGAAGTTTTTATTTATGGTCAAGGTCTGTAGTTTTTCTTGTAATCTTGGTGGAAATGATTTGATGGTATTGTTGAGTTTTTTGGTGAAAAGGGGAGTAGGATCTTCTTGTAGTTCTTTGTAGTAGGTGGTGTCAGAGAGCTGTCTGTTGGCTTCCTTTATGTAATCCTCACGGTTTAGGATGACTATGGCTCCTCCTTTATCTGCTGGTTTTATTACTATTTGGTGGTTAGATCTTAGAGATTCTATGGCCTTTTTCTCTGGTAGAGAGAGGCTATTATGGTGGCGTGTGCTGCTGATTATTTCATTGTTTATTCTTTCCCTGAAGCAGTCAATGTAGCGGTCAAGGTTAGGGTTTCATCCACTGCGAGGTGTCCAATCTGATGATTTTTTGGGCTTTTTGGCATTGATCCTTTCCTGAATGTTGTCAGAGGATGACTTGTTGTTGGGAGTGGGTTCAGTTTGGTCGTGGAAATATTCTTTGAGGCGCAGGCATTGGAAGAATTCTTCTAGTTCTCCACACTGAAGTATTTTATTAGGGTGTTTTTCTGGACAGAAATTTAGGCCTTTATATTTATATTGTGCTTGTTACCCAAACTCACAGGAATCAGAAGGTTCAGATTTCAGCTATGCCTGGTTTTCTTCTCATTTGTTACATCATAAACAAAACTGTTGAAAAAATACTGCTAAAGACTAAAAATTAATTCCTTAGTACCCTGGTTTTTGGTACAGTGGTTCATGATATTCAATGTGCATATTCCTTGACACAGATAAGATCACTCTGTGGCTGTCCTAAATAGCCTATAAAAGTAATCTTATTTGACCCTGTTTTAGAGCTAACTCCAGAGTGAAGGAGCTAGAGGAAATTTAGAATGTGACAGGCAACTCAAAACAAATAATAATGAAATCACACCCCTCACCCAGGCTCAGAACAATTAATGAACCAGATTAAAATAAGCAGAAAAAATACACTATCGTCCATACTGTATTGAACTTTATTGTGGTAGGTACATGGATAAAGCAGATGACAGGAATGTACCCTAACATTCATTTTTAGCAGATTTCATGTTTTCCCAGTGAAAGCAATGATGCTTAACATATGATAGCCTAATACAGGTTGTTTGTTTGTTTTTAAAGAAAAAGCAAAAAACACCTACATTTCTAATTACTTTTTTTACTCATTTTTTTCAGTGGGAAAAAAAACAGGCTTTTATCTTCAAAAACTCACCCCAATCTCTTTTAAGTCTTTGTCCTGTAATAATTGCAGAGGATCAATGAAGTTTTGTTTGACATTGATATCAAGAGAGTCCTTCACCTCTGCCATCTGCTTCATGCTTTCACCAACATCCATCAGTGCAAGGCCTACAGTGAAGAAAATGCTACTTGTATACCAAGAATACCATTACATGTAAAACTGCAAAAAACATTTTATTCAACAATGCATAAAAGTGTTGGTAGTACACTCTTTAAGAAGTAGTGCCACCCCGCCTCGTGTCACTTGTGCCCCCTTTAACTCAGTGCCCAAGGTTCACATCCCAAGCACACCAGCTGCCCGTTCTCCTCATGGTACATGGGGCAAGGGTTGGCAACTAGTGTCCTAAAAGAACTAGAAGTTTGTCTTAACCTATATTTTAAATTTTCCATCTTTTTCTGGTATCCATCCATGCAAATTACTGTCTTTCTGCATTACAGTCTCCATTCTTGAATTATTTGAATCACATACACAGCTTCTTCTTTGGGTTCTTCTCCAGTTAAGTAGAGCCCCAGGGGGAAAAAAAAAGTCACATGACCAAAAGATTCAGTATGTCACTTTCACAGCATCTGTAATACCTACAAGGCTTGAGAACAAGAGCTCTCAGACAAATAGACATGCGAACAAAACAGTGCGAAGACAGTAAGTGATCTATTACATTTTAAGAACAAGAAACCAAAATGGCCAATTCACATATTTGTGCTGATACTATTAGATGACAAAAATGTGAATACGTCATAAATTTATACTTTTGTGAGTCTCTAATTCATCCCATTTTTAATATATTGGCTCTCTGGCCAAAACCGTTGCTAGTATTTTTAACTAGAGATAATAATAAAAATTAAAGTGTTCTTATTAGTGTTCCTGATCATTTCTTAAGTCCGTAGAACATGATCAAGTGTGCACATAGCACATTTTGTTTGAAATTTCATCTCTACATTGGTTCCAATCTATAACCCTATTATTCCTACAAAAATATACAGAGCTCATGGGTTGTGTTGCTCCATCTCATTCATAGCTAGGAAAATAAACAAGCCTTAAGAGAATAACAGTGTCCTCAACAACATGTTTCTCAGCCTGGAAATCAAAGTCAGCCCTTAAGTGATAGGTCCCCTGTGCCCATCTAGTGGTTTTTGTTTCAGCACAGCCATCTTATGCAATATTACCAAAATTAACTTAAGTCGTCATAAAATCCAAACAATTTTGGGACTCGTCCATGCATCTGCCATGGCCAAATTAGCCCACAGTGTTTATTGAATAATATCTTTCCACTACTACACCCCAAAGAATTGTATCATAATAAATGTGTACAAGCTGGCCCAATTAAAACTGCACAGATTGCCTTAACCTTGGCGCTTCCTAATTTGAAGTGTTGGATGTGCAAACTTAATAATGTTTTTTTAATGTAGCATGTGCAACATTTCCAAGGTTGGAAGAGAGCTGGCTCTAGGAGGCACAGTTCCTTCTGGTAGAAACCTGATCCCTTCTACCCATTGCTTCCAACCAGCTCTGTCCCAATCTAGTATCATCTCTACCTGTCTCCTTGTCAACCCAGTCTCAATCCACTCTTCAAAGTTCTCATTTCAGTCTATCTATCTGTCTAGACAGTTGAAGTCTCCCTCTTCAGGCTCCTAGAGCCCATCTTCCTTGGCTTTACAGTCTCTTCCTCTTTTCCACAACTAGTTTGAGTTGGTGCTGAGCTGTGTTTAGGTTGACTAGTCTGAGTTAGTCAACCTAAATTAAGGCATTTCCTAACCTCTGAGTACTTGTTCAGCCAATTCTTGTGTCTGTGGCTAGCAATTCCCAGTTCCTTCCTCTGGGCTCCTCATCCGAGGTCTTTCTCCTCCATATGCTGGCTTCCAGTCACAGTTTCTTTCTTCAAGCTCCTCATCCAGTCTCTATCCACCCTCTGCATCCCGGAGGTCCCAAATCTCCCCTCTATTTCAGCTTCTTGTCAGATCTGTTCTCTCTCTCCCATCACCCTGTTCCTTCTACATCCGTTCTTGAACTAAGTGCCCTTAACCAGCCAGTTTCAGTCCCCTTTAAATAAGTAGCTCTCTGTCCCATGTTTCCTTCTCTAGCTTCCTCCCTGTCATCTAAGTGTTACTACCAGCTCTCCTACCCAAACAATTCCAACATGCCCTTCCCTTGGCTCCCCTGTCTAGCCAGTCTTTTTCCCCTCCCACCCAGTTCATAGTTGTAGAAAACAGACAGGCATTTGTTCATGTGCTAAAAACTCTTGGCACAGGCAAGATCTTCCTTGTTCAATGGGAGAATGGTAATTCTCCCAGTAGAAAGGTAATTCTCCCAGTAGAAACTGAACCCCTGTATGTGCCCTTACTGCTCCTGTGTGCTCCCAGTCTTCCCATTCCAAACTTCCAGCCACAGTTTCTGCCCCTCCCCAGTCACAGTCCAGAGTTGTTCTAATATATTCCTTCATTTCCCCATGGTCCAACATTTGTTTCCTCTGCATTCCAATAAGACTGCTTCCTCCTTCCTACTGTCTGGGTACAAATGTGGGGGACAGTAAGGGATGGTACTTTTAGCACAAGACAAACAGGCTTTCTGCATTTAATTCTGGTGGCTGGCTCCTCCCTGTCCTGGAGCAGCCAGGAGCAGCAATTGTAGGAAAATGAGTTCCGAGGCCCAGACTTCCGAGCTAGAATATCCTCCGTGGATATATTCTCTGTGGACAGCACATGTCCAATCAGGTCAACAATCTACTGATAAATTAGAACATGCTCAATGAATATGGACTCTTTAGAGACTGCAGCCCTAGTGAATATGCGTGAACTGAGATTTTTCCAAAGACTTACAACTTGGCCAGTTTCAGGTGGCTTGCCATGGGGATGGCAACAAAAGGCACTCTACCACATAAAGGACATTGCTCTCATCATCAGCTTCCAACTCCCTGTGTCAAAGCTTGGGAATACTAGCACAGTTCAAAAATAAAAGTTATAATATTGTTTTTCGATAAACAACATTTTTTCCTGCTCTTATTCTTGAGGACAGCTGTACCCATTTTGGTTGGCAATTAAATAAACAAATTAATCAGCCTGAGGCAGGTGCCCACCATGAAAAATATCAGCTGAAATAATTGAAGTCCAACAAAACTAAAAACAGTTTAAACAGATGCTTACAAGAAGTGGTCAGTAACCTTACTAGCAGGCAGTGACATCAGCCCTCCCTATAAGACAGCAAAATAAATGCTTGAAAGTATCACATGATATTTATTCTACCTCTTGACATACAATCATTGGACTTCTATTCTGTCGCCTTACAACTAATAATTGTCAACCACAACACACATCTAGGTAGTATTATTCTCCATGCAAGGAATACAGAGATATTCACAAGAGAGTTACTCAAACTTACCAAATGTAGAATCATCTCCAAGTTCTCTGCCAAACCGCAGCATACAGTCCCCTAGTAGCCCTTCTGTTTGGGGATATCCTGTGGTTTTAACTTGGCCTCTGATTTTTGACACAGTGTTCAGCATTCCCAGCTTAGCTCTGTATGCTTAAAGGCAAATGAATGAAAAAATTCACTTAACAAGATTATCTTTAAATAATACATTATTTGAAAGTTTCAGACAAAAATAATTTCAGCAAATAATTGTGTTTCAGAGAAGTGTGTTTTGATCACTTCACTGAAAGTTTAAAAAAAAAAAAATCAAGATGTGAAAGATTTTTTCATTGGATACATGGATCACCCAACTGTGTCAGTTCCCTAATTGGGTGAACAATAACATGACTCTTACATGTAGGTCTCTATTTTGAAAAGTTGTCATCTTTTCTTGATGATCCTATTTCACCTCTATGATGCTTACATGGATTCAGGTGTCCAAAAATCCAAGTCAAGCCATGAATATAGTGTCTTTTGTAACACTCTGAAGGCACTTAATACCTTATGACCAAAGTACCTTAAACTGGAAGGAAGAGGAGGACCCAACCACCTTTTGCATCAACAGTTTTTTGGAGATTTGAGCAGGAAGTTCAGGACTGTCCAATCCACTTAGACACCTTGTACACAGAACAGGATCTGATCCCAAATGTATATGAAAGCAACCACAGTCATTTCATGTTTTCATTTAAGTGAAAGGTTGCAGAACTCTTCCCCCTCCTCCCCCTTCAAATGCTTGGCTCCACTGCCCAAAACACTGGGAACTAATTCCCTAGAATGGCTTGACATTCATAGATGCATAACTTCTAGGGTCAGAAGGGACCTCAGTGGGCCATCTAGTCCAACCCCCTGCCCCTGGCAGGCAAGAAAAGGGTCACCAAACCTGGGGTCATCTAAACCCAGCCATGTGCCTGTCCAGTCTCCTCTTGAAGACCCCGGAGGATGGGGCAAGCACCACCTCCCTTGGAAGCGTTCCAGATCCTGGTAACCCTGACCATGAAGAACTTTTTTCTAATGTCTAGTCTAAACCTTCTCTCCAGTAGCTTATGGCCATTGTTCCTTGTTGTTCCAGGGGGTGTCTTGGTAAACAGATCATTGCCTACTTCATGTTGCTTTCCCCTTATGAATTTGTATGCCACCACAAGGTCCCCTTGGAGAGATTGAAAAGGTCCTTGAGCCCTTCCTTGTAGGGCCTTCCCTGCAGGCCTCTAATCAGACAAGTGGCTCGTCTTTACTCTCCAAGTTGTCCGCATCCCGCTTGAACTGCGGCGTCCAGAACTGGACGCAGTACTCCAGCTGCAGCCTGACCAGTGCCACATAGGGAGGGAGAATTACCTCCCTGGATATGTTTGTGAAGCACCTACGGATGCACGACAAGGTACGACTGGCTCTGCCAACTACTTCATCACACTGACAACTCGTGTCCATCCTGGAGTCAACAGTGACTCCAAGATCCCCTTCTGCTTCAGTGGTGCTGAGAAGGTCACCCCCCAGACTATAGGTATGATAGCAGTTCTTTCTCCCCACATGCAGCACCTTGCACTTGTCCTTATTGAATTGCATCCTGTTGCTCTCTGCCCCCTTCCCCCACCTGTCTAGGTCAGCCTGGATCTGGTTCCTCTTCTCCAGGGTGTTAGGTTCACCCCATATTTTTGTGACATCTGTGAATTTGGACAGGGTGCTTCCCACCCCCTCATCCAGATCACTGATAAAAGATGTTGAATAGCACCGACCCCAGAACTGAGCCCTGAGGGACTCCCCTGCCCACGTCTTCCCAGGTTGACACCAACCCATCCACCACCACTCTCTGAGTGCGACCCTTGAGCCAGTTTGCTACCCAGTCTACCGTATAATTACCCAAGGCAAACCTCCTCAGTTTATTTATAAGGATAGTATGGGATACTGTGTCAAAGGCCTTCTCGAAGTCCAGATAGATAACAGCCTGACCAGTGCCGCACAGAGAGGGAGAATCACCTCCCTGGACATGTTTGTGAAGCACCTACGGATGCACGACAAGGTGCGACTGGCTCTGCCAACTACTTCATCACAATGATGACTCATGTTCATCCTGGAGTCAACAGTGACTCCAAGATCTCTTTCTGCTTCAGTGGTGCTGAGAAGGTCGCCCCCCAGCCTATAGGTATGATAGCAGTTCTTTCTCCCCACATGCAGCACCTTGCACTTGTCCTTATTTGCACATTTCCTTGTACCTTATTACACATGTCCAGGAGTCGAGTCCACCAGGAGTTGAGGTAACTTCAACTCCTGGTGGACTCGACTCCTGGACATGTACTAGAGGCACAGATTTTTTGGGGGGGTGATAACTTTTACTGGACTAACTGCATAGATAGGAGAGATTTTTAGACAAGCAACGCTGGCGCGTAAGACGGGGGGAGAGGGGAGGCACTTACTTGTCCCCTCCTTCGGTACCCCCTCCCCTCCGAGAGAGGTGCGGCACCGGTGGGCCCTTCTGCACATGCATGCAGTTTAAGAAGGGCCTGGCAATGACGGAAGCTGCACTTGGGTCCCGGCTCTGACGCTAGACACATGGGTACAAGCCCATTGCACCCCCGTGAGCCCAGAGACCCCCCCAAAAGAGCCCAGAGACCCACAACGAGCCCCAGCCTGCCCCCACATAAGCAGGGGCCTGTGGTGGGAGGGATGTAGCCCAGCTGCAGTGAGGCAGCTGAGTGGAGCCGAGGAGGGTCACGCTCATGCCCCCCCCGGCTCCTACTTAGCCCAGCCCTGAGAGCAGCATGGCACCGGCCTGCCCTTCTGCACATGTGCACAGTTTAAAAAGGGCCTGGCAATGGCAGAAGCCACACTCAGGTCCCGGCTCCAGCATGAGACACATGGGTGCAAGCTTGTTGCACCCCCGTGAGGGCAGGGACCCCCCCAAGAGACCCCAGGACCTCCGAGCCCTGGCCTGCCCAAAGGTAAGCAGGGGCCCGTGGTGGGAGGGACGTAGCCCGGCTGCAGGGAGACAGCGGAGTGGAACCGAGGAGGATTATGCACCCCCCGCCTGGGCTCCTACTTCGCCCACCCCCCCAGGGAGCCACGTGACCAGAGCATTGTGAACAGGACATGCACACTGGGCCCAGAAGTGCGCCTGTTTGCAAGTTTAGTGCAGGAGTTTGCACAGGAGGGTGAGCGGGAGGGCCCAAGGCCCTGCCAGTGAGCCCCCAGGGAAGGCAGTCCCATCAATAGCTGTCAGTAGCCAGATTCCCAGTGGCACAATGTGGATGGGCACACGCTGCACCCCAAGGGTCCCCTCGGAGTCTGCGGCCTCCCCCTCTAGCTCCTCAGAGGCCTCCACCAGACAGCCCGTGGTTCCAGGCTCCACACAGATGGAGCCCCTGGCTCTCGGCTGCGGGGGCTGCCTGGCATGTTTCCAGGATCATGGGACTGGAAGCATGGCCACCTCCCCTTGCGAGGTTTGCTCCACCTTGGAGTCTCTGGGGCACCAGCTAGAGGAGCTCCAGGCCGCAGTCCAGAGACTGTGTGCCATCAGGGATGGCAATCAGGAGATAGACTCCTACTGCCAGGCCCTTCACCCCCGAAATGCAGAGGGTAGACCAAGGTCACCTTCCAGGACAAGGGAGAACTCAGGGATCCCCCATACTGTCCAGCCAGGGAGCTGGACCAAGGTGGTCAAGGGTTCCAAGGCTCACCGCACCAAGGTCCCCTCCCCTCTGGGGCTTTGCAGCAGGTATGAACCTCTTGCAGCCCCAAGCGAGCCTGCAGAGATGCCAGCTCCTGCAGGCAAGGGTGGATCACCCACCCCTACTCTCCCTAAGACAAAACGCAGAGTGGTCATCATGGGAGACTTCCTCCTGAGGGGGACTGAGGAGGCAATCTGCCACCCCAACCCCCTATCCCGGGAGGTCTGCTACTTCCCAGGCGCCCGCATCCAGGACACAGTGGAGAGGAGTCCAAAGATTATCCGGCCCTCCAACCACTACCCTATGCTCCTTATCCACGTGGGCACGAATGACATGGCTTGGAGCAATCCCAGCCGTGTCATGAGAGACTATAGGGCTCTGGGAGTGGGGCTTAGGGGGCTGGGGATGCAGGTGGTCTTTTCCTTGCTTCTCCCGGTCGTGGGTCATGGGCTGAGGAGGGAGAGCCAGGTCAAGGTAGTCAACCAAAGACTGCGGCGTTGGTGTCTTCATGAAGGCTTCGGCTTCCACAATCACAGTCCGCTCTTTGGTGAGAGAGGCAGTGGGCTGCTGGGAAGAGACAGCCTCCACCTTACTCTGCTGGGGAAGAGGCTCTTCTCAGCCAGACTTGCTGATCTGCTCAACCGGGCTTTAAACTGAGCCTGCCAGGGGATGGGGGGGACTACCGCCACTGCAAGCCCACTGGGCAGCTTTTGTAAACCCTGCAGGCTAAGACACTCAAAGGAACCCACCCCTACCCCAGCCCCAGAGTGATCCATAGGGAAGACAAGGCCAGGAGCTTGGGGAACAAACAGGAGGAACTGGTCCTCCTGCTAAAAAGAAGGATTACAATCTCATAGGGATAACGGAGACCTGGTGGGACTCCACCTATGACTGGGCGACAGGTATAGATGTCTATACCTTGTACAGGAGAGATCATGTGGAAAAAAGGGGTGGGGTGGGGTAACTCTCTATGTCAAGGAAACCTACATGTCCCTGCAAGCTGACATTGGCACCCAGAGGGGACGATTGGAGACTCTCTGGGTTAAAATCTATGGCAAACAAGGCACAGGAGACACAATTGTGGGAGTCTACTACAGACCTCCTAGCCAGGATCAAGAGTTTGACCAGGAATTTGCCAGGGAACTGGCTGAGGCTGCACGCTCCTGGTGTATGGTTGTCATGGGAGATTTCAACTACCCTGACATCTTGTGGGAAGAGCACTCGGCCACATCCAAATGGTCACAAAGCTTCCTCATGTGTCTGGATGAGCTCTGTCTGACTCAAGAAGTCTATGGATCGATGAGAGGCAAAGCGCTGCTCGACCTGGTACTGGCAATGGGGGGACTTAATAATCAGTGACCTAACGATCGAAGGGAAGCTGGGAGACAGCAACCATGAGCTGATCACCTTTACCATCCGTCGTAAAGCTGGCAAGTCAGTCAGCAAAGCAGAAGTCCTCAACTTCAGGAGAGCTGACTTTGACAAGCTAAGGAGGCTTATTGCTGAGGCCCTAAGGGACCTCAATCCAAAGGGCAGGGGAGTTCAGGAAGAGTGCTTGCTCCTCAAGGGAGCTATCCTGAAAGCTCAAGCAATGTCTATCCCATCTCAGAGAAAAGGCAGCACGGGTTAGTTGCAGGTAGGTCTTGCCTGACCAATCTCATCTCATTCTATGACTAGATGACATACCACCTGGACAAGGGAGAAGAGATTGACGTCATATATCTTGATTTTTAAAAAGCTTTTGATCTGGTATCCCACGATCATCTCATAGAAAAACTGGCCAACTGCATCCTCTGCTACATCACAGTCCTTTGGCTGGGGAATTGGCTCCAAGGTCGGACCCAGAGAGTGCTAGTTGTCAATCACTGTGGTATGCTGTGACCAGTGGGGATCCTCAAGGCTCCATCCTTGGGCCTATTCTTTTCAACGTCTTCGTTAATGATGCGGACATTGTTGTCAGAAGCAGACTGGCCAAGTTTACTGACAACACCAAACTTTGGGGTAAATCATCCACACCTGAGGACAGGATGGTGATCTAGGCTGACCTTGACAGGCTCAGAAAATGGGCAGATGAAAACCGGATGGCCTTTAACTCTGAAAAATGCAAGGTTCTCCACCTTGGGAAGAAAAACCCACAGCATGCTTATAGGGTCAGCAGTGCTACACTTGCTAGCACCATGGCCAAAAGGGACTTGGAAGTCATGACTGACCACAAGATGAATATGAGCCACCAATGTGATGTTGCAGCTGGCAAAGCAAGCAAAACTCTGGCTTGCATCCATAGATGTCTCTCTGGCAAAACCCAGGATGTCATCCTCCCACTGTACTCGGCCTTGGTGAGGCTGTAGCTGGAGTACTGCATCCAGTTCTGGGCTCCACAATTTAAAAAGGATGTGGAGAAGCTTGAGAGAGTCCAGGGGAGAGCCACGCGCATGATCAGAAGGCAGGAAAACAGGCCTTATGAAGAAAGGCTGAGAGCAATGGGACTCTTCAGCCTGGAAAAGCGCAGGCTCAGGGGGGCCCTGGTGGCAGCCTATAGATATATACGGGGTGTACATCAGGATCTGGGGGAACGCCAGAGCGCCCCATGGGATGACAAGCTCAAACAGTCACAAACTCCCCCAAGACCATTTCACAGTGGACATAAGGAAGAACTTCTTTACTGTCTGAGCCCCCAAGGTCTGGAACAGACTGCCGCCAGAGGTGGTGCAAGCACCTGGTCTGGACTTTAAGAGTCAATTGGATATTTATCTTGCTGGGATCCTGTGATCCCAACTGACATCCTGCCCCTGGGGCAGGGGGCCAGACTCGATGATCTTCCAAGGTCCCTTCCAGCCCTAATGTCTGTGGAATATATGAAATCTATTAAGCTTTTAGGCACAAGGTAATCTTAGCAATTTCACTGTATCCCACACAGTACAGAGTCAAAAACGGATCATTATTTTTAAAGTGTTTCCTCCAATCCATCCCTCATTTGAATCATAAAATAGCCTCCTAATACAGTAATTACCTTGCATTGAGCCTTCCGGGATTAAAGGCACTGGCCTCAGTAGCTGTATCTTAAGCCTACCAGCTGCTCATTAAGCCTTAATGCTACATTAATCCTACACTTCCCTAGTCAGGCAAAACACACTGATATTTCCTTCCAACCACATATCTCACAGTGTTCATGAGGTAGGTACAGCTGTCTCCAACATGAATGAGAATCTTGCATAAGGAAAGACTGCAAGATCAAACTCTGTTCCATTAAAGACAAGTGAAGTCTTTCTGTTGGAGTAAACTTTGGATCAGGCATATAATGCCCCGTATCTTGACCCAAACAGATCAAACCAGTGACCAATACAGGTGTCTTTCCTTTCCCTATTTTAGAAACTGATTTTAGAAATTCACTGTAAATTCACTACCTAATATTTGTTATAGCACCTGAAAGAGGAGATGAAGTTGCTCAAAAAGAAAGGGGGCAGGACAGAGAGAGATCTCTTTGCCTTTTGTGAATATGTTGTGTGTTACATATTCCCTAACAATATTAACAACCCAGAGGGGTTAATATATACCCTTGAAAGAGGCAATGCAGCAGAAGTTCAACTTGTAGTCTTAGTGTATCACTGTTAGAGGAATTGTCAGTTTGCCTTACCAGGATTTGGTTGAAGGTACTCTGTGGATTTGGACAGAAGCTCTGCTACTGCTTTATTGGTGATATCAATTTTCTGGAAGAGAAACATAACAAGACATAACTAAACTATACCCCTTTACTAAAGAATGTATCTGCTGATTAGGTACAATGTATTGTTCTTGTAAACTAAAAGGTTTTATATAAAAATGAATGCAAAATAGGATCATTTTCAAATCTTTCTATATTGAATCAGATCTCCCATTACTGATGCTGAAAGAAACTGAATTGGCATATCAGGTTGAGAAAGCTCAAAAACCCAAAGAATGTAAATGAATAACTAAACCTGCAGGACCTACCTCTAATCACAATTTACATATACTACTTCCACGTTTTGGAATCACAATTGCTACTGTATCAGCCACTCTGATCTCACGGGTCCGAAACGTACTAGCCCACATTGCCCACATTCAGGTGCATCTAAAATATACTCATATTTGAATTCAGTTACTTGTCATTTCCATTCTGACTCGCACAGCAATTTCCTCTTATAATATAGATAAAAGGAATTCTTGTTTTAGGGCCACGGAAAAATGGATCTAAAGTCAATCTAGATTATAGATTCAAAATTAATGTATGGAAGAGAAAAAAAAATGAAGACGTTTCTCAACCTGCCAACATATATCTATAAAACAAGTCAAAAAATACATATGCTAGAGACCCAAACAAAGGATCCAGCTCTAAAGAGCAGGAAGAGAGAGAGAGAGAGAGAGAGAGAGAGAGAGAGAGAGAGAGAGCGCACAAGAGCGCACGAGAGAACAAGCATTGAAACAAGCCAACACCATATTCTTCATTGGCTGGCGCTTCCAAAAAGAATTTGGCTTATTCAGATTTCAGGTGAGGACAGGATTAGAATTTCAAACATACAGATTTTTGCACTTATTTGTACATACTTACACATATGCATCACATATGTTGTTTACAACATCAATCTATCAAAGAAAAATATGAGATTTTCTTCTTGCAGTAGTATAATCTTGGCTTCCTTACCCTTTCCATTTCTTGAAACTCTTCATCTAGTTTTGTTCCTTCTGCCCCACTGATTTTTTCACTGAACAACTGTAAACAAAAAGAAAAACTATATTATTACTTTCTGAAAAAATAAATATACCTCAAAGTCACAGGAAGTTATCAGAGACTCACAAACATTAGTCAAATATCTGTAAAAAAAAGTACATGAGGCAAAAGGAACACTCCTTTCTTTCCAAAGGAAAAATAATCTTTAGGGAGGAAGGAAATGGCCAGCTTGGATTTAAAGGAAATTTAACAAAGGGATACAGAAGAATAAGAAATAATTTCTCATACTTGAACTGCATATGTACACTGTAGAGTTCAGGCACAAAGGCCAGATTCTGATTGTAGATAAGCTGGTGGACATCCAGAGCAATACTTTCAAGTCAGTGTTACTTAGGTCTTCACATTAACATAAAATCAGATTCCCAGGATCTCTCTGCAGGGTGAACACTCTTCATAAAACTCCCATTAATTCTGTGAGGAATTGTGTGCGCGCGCTCTGCAATAAAGATGCATTGCATCACTGCTGTGCAATCCAGTAACTTCCAGGCTATTTAAGACAAGAAAGGCACGCTGCCTTCAAACTATGATTTTAATAGCAACAACTTTAAAAGCAGGATTCCAGCTAGGCAATTCAAACCTTTGAGATATCTGAAATCTTGCCTAATCTTTTCTAAACCTCCAGACTTCTGGCATTATTTCTGGTCTTGACACAATAATTCGGTGTCAATAAAACTTGTACCCAAGTCACTTTGGTGCTGTAGAAAATCTCATCCATATCACAAAAGCCATTATTTCTTATAGTTTAAATTACCAGCATCATGCTATTAATAGAAAAGAAAAATACTAAAAGCGGGATCCTTTCCCAGTATACATCACCATGCATTTGGGGGTGGGGGGAGGGGGGTCACTCTACTTTGGGGGCAGTATTTTAAACATTTAAAAAAACAAAACCAAACCCAAGTGCTTATTTCCATGTGAAATTATTTCTTAAAGGTGCTTTCCATTATAAAGCAAGCTTTGTGTTACCATTTAATACCTCCAGAAACATGATGATCAAACACAGAACAGCAAGAAGGGGAGCAGCTGTTGCTTCACTGATAACAGGTGCAGACAATACCCAAAATGAATGATTTTGTTCTCCCTGTTCTGAACAACTTGCACAACAAGTCTGGCAGCCTCAGAGATAGGGAGTCTGAAGGTGAGCTGCAGCCATTAGTAATGGAGCTGTCCCCTCTTCCTGATTGATCCTGCATGGGGTGGGCATACAGTAGGCTGCTTATGAGTAAAAAATTAAGAGGACAGGTTGCTCAGAAGAACTTGGTTAACGTTGCTGCTGTTGTACAGCCACAAGAGGACTCCTGTCTAGGGGAATAAATAAGGCCAAACAGGGGATCAGGTTGTTAATGACTGTTTATTTATTGGTACTATGGTAGCACTTAAAGGCCCCTGTGCCACTGTAATACTCATTGTATAAACATGTGACACAAAGTAATGGCTCCTGTAAACCAACAGGTAAAGCCAAAGTTTAGAAACAGCATGTGGATAAAAGGTAATGGGGAGATATTACTGGTTAGGATGATGAGGGCAGCGACAGCCCATCAGCTGCCTATCTACCGGCATGGCATCAAAGCAGAGAAGGACTATAAGCATGGACTGGAAGGCAGAACAGTGGCATGTTTTGGTGTTTATGGAAAGCTCCTGCAATGGATAAAAGGGTAACACAGGAAGAGAAAACGTGAAGGTGCTGCTTGTAAAATTTAACAAGTGAGCGGTCAAGATTGGTGCCACCAGTAGATGGGGCAGGGGTTTCTCAGTACAGTAGAAAAGCTGGTAGAGGGAGGAGAGTCTTCCCCCAACTCTGCATGGGCAGTAGAAGAGTCTTCCTATGTTAACTTCTCTCTACATGCAGATTTACCTCTTCTGAGAATGCTGAGTGCTGGATGGATCATCTCTCTTGGTGCCTGTACAAACAAAACCAGGCAGAAGACAATAGCTTCTTTAGAGAACAGAGAGCTTTCTTTGAATAGAGAGAGCACAGCAACAGGCATCCTGCAGTAGATTCACTTAAACCCATACACACCTGGGAAATCATTCAAAACAAACTCACGCTGCAATGCTGAATCACAACAATACAGACATATTAGAAAAGAATAATATACTTTTATTTTAGATGTCTTTTTCCTTCTTTTTCCACAGGCAATTATTTTAGCTAAAGCACTTCTCTAGTTTTGATAGTTTCCATTCACCTTCCATGCACAGTATTTTAATTTCTCAAGTGAGCAGTACAATCATTCATTTCTTGTAACTGCACATTCATTTCACTATGGTCCTCTTCCAATTACCCTTTTCAGATGGCAAGGTTTGGATGTCCATTTCTTCACACGCTGTTTCTGATAACTGCTGTATATAGTAGCATTATATTTGTGTCACATTACAAATAATCCATTTGCATGTAACCACAGGATTAAAAAAAAGCCGCCAGCACAGATACGTTGTGTCGATAAATGCATCAATGGGGAAATCTTTTCTTCATCTCCAGATATCCCGGATTCCTCTCACTCTATGATGGCTGTATGCACTTTCACCTCTCCTGGATTAACAGGCACAAATTGAGGCTTATAAGCATTGTTGCTGTGCTTGCCAGTATTATAGCTGTTGATCCCCTTTCTGATAAAGTGATAACAGTTTTCACAAGCTCTGTGAAGTTTCTATCCTCAGTAGCTCCAAACACACACACCATAGCTTTGAGTTACCCTTTCTACTCTTATCTCTTACATTCTTCTAATTGCATACAGTCTTTCAGATTCATTTAGCTTTTATTTCTGAAATGTGACAAAAAGGAAAAAAGGAAAGAGCCCCCTTCAATATACACATTTTTACTTGAGCTGTATTCAGCTGCTATTTGATACCAATTGTACAAGAGTGGACTAGCTGCAGTGATAGTGAGTCACCACCCGAGAGAGCATCAGTGTCTGCTGCACTGCCAAACACTGAAGTAAGAGATTGAAGGCAAGGACACTGAAGAAAAACAAAGTGATTTATTTGCACTAGTCTCCCAAGAGGACATTGGTGAGGAACTTATTCAATGTCACATTCACAGTTATTTGTGGACACAATTTCTAGAATTCAGACATCAAACTGCTAGATTTGTAGTCACAGTTAATACAGGTGGACATCTGAATGACCTAGGCCCTGATATACATTCTAGGGGTGCATCAATAGAGATTCAATGGGCCGATATCAATGGTCAACTGGCCATAATCGGCCAATACCAATCCAATTGCCAATATGCAGCTGAGCAGTTTGGAGAGCAGCATCCAGCAGGAAAGTCTGCTGGGGGGAAAGGGTCGGGGAGGTGGGGCGGGGGAAGAGGGATGGGGGGACAGATTGAGGCTCCCGTGGTGAGGGAGGGAGTGGGGCTGGGGCAGGCACTGCCCAGCTGGGGTGGAGAGTGAGACAGAGCTGCAAGTGGCTCGTCCGGGGGGCATGGATGGTTCCTGCCACTGTGCGCACCCCCATGGGAGGCATGAAGTGTGTGCACCCCCAGATCTGCACACAGTGCAAGAGTGGGCTGCTGTTGGCTGGGGCCGGGGCAGTGATAGGATCTTCCCAGCAGGGGCTGGGCTGGGCTGTGCTAAGGGCAACCAGCAGCTGTGCTGGGAGAGGACTATAGGAGGGGCTGCAACCACCCCAAAATTTGCCATAGCCCCCCCAACCTCCACTTCCAGTGTTGCTGCCATTCACCCTGAGCACAGCCCAGTCCAACCTCCCCGCTGGGAGGAGCCTGCCCTCACCCTGTGAGCAGATCTGGGAGCATGCCCTCCCTGGGGATACACATAGCAGCGGGAGCCACCACCCCCTCCCCACACATTGCCCAATCAGGGCAGGGTAGGGAGTGGGATAGAGCCGTGTCTGTCCCTGCCCTAGCCCCACTCCCTCCCTCACTGCAGGGGCATTGGTCTGCCCCCTCTCCCCCACCCCTTCCCTCACAACAGACTTACCAGTGAGACCCAGCTGCTCTCCACATTGCTGGGCTGTGCTCCTAGCCACCAGCATGCTGCACTGCGGCTGCATGCATGCACGTGGCATTTATTGGCCACGTCGGCCAGAAAAAGCCAAGTGCGACACAGTCAATTTTTCTTATATCAGTGCTGATCTGATACAGGACCGATGTATCAGTGCACCTCTAATACATTCACTTTAAGACATGATGGGATCTAATCCCTGATCCCAACAATCGCATTTCCTGCCATGCCATACTACAGTTACCATACATCCAGGTTTTTCTGGACATGTCCTTTTTGTGTCCTCCCATCTCCACCCAGATGGTTTTTTAAAATATCAACAATGTTCAGAATTTTTCTCTGCCTTTGCTCAGCATCAAAGTTTTTCCCAGCACACTTCCCGGCTTGCTCTAGCTAGGAGCTACTTGGCACTGGAACAGGGTGGGGGGAGGGGGGTGGGCAACTGGAGCCAGGGCACACATGGCATTGGGGCTGCAGCAGAGCAAGGGAGACACCTGCCCCTCCGGCGGGGTAAGGGGACAGGGTAGCCCTTCAGGGACAGCAGGGCGCTGCATGGCCAGGTCAGTGGCACCAGTGCCAGTACCTCTGCTCACAGGGGCCAGGCAACTGGGAGACACTGCAAGGCTGGTGGGGAGCAGGGGCCTGTATGTCAGGATTGAGGGGCACTGGCAGGGCTGGAGGGGCAGGGGGCTGTGGGTTGGGAGCACACAGCACAGGCAGTGCCAGGGGGTTGCATGTCATGAGTGAGGGGTATCAAGAGGGATGGGAGGAGCTGCAGGTTGGGAGTAAGAGGCACCAGCATAATCTTTAGGGCAGAGTACTGTGGGTCAACAGTGAGGGGCAGCAGCAGGGCTGGGGTGCCTGTGGCTTGGTATTGACAGGTAGGGGCAGAGCAGGGCACAGGCATATCACTGCCCCCTCCCCCCCCCCACACAATCATAATTGCCCCCGCCCTTCCCTGACAGGTGTCCTCTTTTTTGAAACTGGAAATATGGTAACCCTATGCCACATGTGCAT